ATTAGCATATTCTACAAATATCTCGTCAACTTGTTGTCTCTGAGCTTCATTAAGTAAAGGTTGATTGACTTTAATTTCCTTGTGAGGATATTCAGTCAAATATAGGGCAGGATTAATATCTTTCTCTTCTTGAAATGTATAATAATCTTCAAGAATATCATCAATAGTACTTTCTTCAGAATAGTAATTTTCATATTCCTCTAACTTATTTTCTAACTCATATTCGAGTTCTTATTGTACTTGATTATTATCCATTTCTTCTTCTTCTTCATGAATGATGTAAGGGCTAGAAGTGACAGTATGAATTGTGTTAACAGTCACTGCTTTGTGATTATAACGGAATGTTAATACTCGGTTAGCAAAATCCTATTGTGCCTTAGTTTTGTCAAACTAATCAGTTCCTAATAGTAAATTATCTTTGGTAAAATCAATCACTTGTAGTTTCATAAGTATCCGTAAGTCCTGTATACCAATATTTACATGATTAATCTAATCAAGAGCTCGTTTTCAGGTATCATTGGCTGTGATTACTATCACTTTAAAAGGAATATCAATAGGGATTCCTAATTTCCTTCTTAATTTATCAGTTATGATACTAACTGCAGCTTCTAAATTTAGGACAACTTTAATTGTATTTCCTTTAATTTGAACATAGCATTTTACAACAGTTGTTCGCTTTTCTTTGGTTGCGATGTGATTGGTTTCTTTTACGATAGGTCTTTTCAAAATTTTGAAGAAGTTTCTTTTTTGATCTGGGTAATATAACATTTGTCTAATTGTTACACTAGCTTACATGTTTAAAATATCTTTAGAAATGTCATAATGTAATAGCTGATTTATAACTGAAGGTTGACATGTAGTTTTAGTTTTTTTAACAGGAGTAACGGTTGATGGTTCTAGTACAGTAGTAGTGGAAGGTTCAATAATCATGGAATTGTTGTCAAAATTTGAACTCTGATAAATGATTTCTTCACCAGGATTAGTTCTTTGTCTTTGTTGTTGTCCTCTAGTTTAGTGTATCTTATTACAGACCTGAGGTTTATTTCTAATTGCTTCATATACCTCATATTTACTGTCACAATCATCAGTGTAATATTCGTTTTTGTTCTCATTGATCTCAACTATGTTAACACCTTGGTGATTGTTATTTTGTCAAGGTGTTGATCGATTGTTATTATTATTGTCGTAATTATTGTTATTATAATTATTGTTATTATTGTTATTTCTTCGGTCTGCCAAACAGTTTCTGGATATACATCAGGAAATTTTTCGGGACGTAAATTTCCGTAACACAAACGGGACCCACGGAAATTTATGCTCAAAAATTCAATTTTTTTGACTTTGGTCGCAATTTACGAGACAGGAAGCGATTTTCTACTAAGGTGTTTCTATGACA